CCCCAAAACCCCAAAACCCCAAAACCCCAAAACCCCATCAACTGACAAAAAGTAAATTTTAACAATAACATTATTTATGATCATAAACTTAGATTTAATTATTTAGATTAAAGAATAAATCTCTATATTCATTGGGATTTGCTTTCTTGAGTTTTAGATTATTTACTATAAACTTAAGCTGCTTTTAGTTGCTAAGTTTTGAAATGATAAACAAAGAAGCAAACAATAATGTGCAAGGTGGCTCCACATATTGTCAAGCCAAACACCACAACAAAGCTTTTGTAATCTTCCCACTTTAAAAAGGGGTAAAGGAAGTGACCTCTATACTTAACGCCGCAGTAATTTACAAAGCTATACAATAATGCTACCATTATCAAGTAAGTGCAATGCCCAGGAATGAAAATGACTTTTGAGCAAATGACGTTAATTGTGACAGCAGCAAAAGGTATTGAATGAATAAAAAGCATGTGGTAGATAAGGTAAGTTCTCATTACCTCGTCTGTAGTCTCCATGATCTTTTCCATTGCCAACTTATGTAGCAACGGCCAGTAAATTGAAACCACAATAAGCTGCATGACAAAAGCAAGTTATGTCGATATTGCAGCATATCTTTTTAGCTTCAAATTGTGCTAATACTTGAAAGTGCCTGAGTAAATACTCAAAATGAAGCTGATAATTACAATATGATTAGCCCATTGTGTTAAAAAGATGACTAGAGAAGAATATCTGAGTTTAATCAAGGAAAGAATAAAAATCAGAATACTCGGGATGACAAGGACTATCCTCATGTATTGAAGCATTTTGTGAGAAGTCAAATGTGGGTATACTGGCTGGTTAAAATCAAAGTAGTTATGAACGAGTTTATCTTGGAAATTAGTGTCCAGAGGATTCCAATGGCTTTTTACAAAGTAAGAGTATTCTAAGCTCCTATCATATATTGAATCAGACGACTCTTGTTTATTTTATTTCATCGTCTCTTAAGGTTATGATGGATCAGGCTTTTATGACTTCTCCATTAATTCTTATATCAAATTAATAACTTGCTATATTGATTAAACTATATGACATCATTCTATCTAATATTGATACTTTTGGGGTTTTGGGGTTTTGGGGTTTTGGGG